ACACACTATACAAACTAAAGATCTAGAACAGGGGTGTCAAACTCAAGGCCCGCAGACCGAATCCAGCCCACGATGTGGTCATATCAGGCCCATGGGGTTGTCCTGGTCTACCCAATGAGAAAAGGAAAAATTGGGCCAGCCTGGCTTCAGCCCAGTTTACCCAATGCGAACAGGAAACATGCCAGCAGTTTGGGGAGTGGTGTCAAGTTGGCCACGCCCACCCAATCGACCACACCCACCCAGGTCAACCACAGCCCTGATGCAGCCCTTAATGAAATTGAGTTTGACATCCCTGATCTGGAAAGGCACTGACTGCTTTTCTTGGGCTCTCTTAGTGCGGAACTGAAAGAAAGAAATAAGCTCAGCATTTCAAGTGCTGACCTGAGACATTGGGAAGCAGAAAATATGCTCCTACATGAAGAAGTACAAATTGGTAACAAGCCGAAGGCCTCTGGGGCTCACAAGTGACATGGGAGACCCTGGTGCATATATGGGTTATTACTCAAAGAAATTTACAAAAACAGGATGCATATACTGTAATTTAAAAAAAGAGCAAGAAATTTATCTAAAAGGCAGCCAGCAACTGTTATGGTATGTCCCAAACACATGGCAAAAGAGCCAAATTTTAAAAACAAAGTGAGTATTCCTTATCTTTGTGATGGCAAACCTGTGGCACGCAGAGTCATTTGTGCTGGCATGTGAGCCGTAAATCAGGACTCCCCAAAATAATTATTATCAACCTCTAAGGGCCTATGGGACTATCCATATCACACAGTCAGCCAGATGTTCAGACTGGATTTGGCATTTTTCTCCACTTATCGAATCTTTCCTAAGGACTTGGAATAGGCAGATGGGGATATTTGACAGCATTAGAGGTGTCATTGCAGAATGCAAGGTGTTCTGGGTAAAGCTGCCTTTTTTGCAGAGACAGATTATGGAGGGTCCCCATTCCTTGGAAAGCAAAGGGGCGGGGAGTGAGGAAGCAGCAAAATTGCACAACTTCCTCTGAAATGCTCTCCTCTTGAGATAGGACAGTGGTGGCTAAACTTCTGGCTCCTATGCCAAAAATTGCGTGCACACCAGCGCGCATGCACTCGTGTGCCAGCACCCAGAATGCAATGCACATGCCCCTCCCCATGCCCCCTGTGCATGTGTGCGCAATCCCTCACCTCCCGCCATGCACTGTGCCTCACAGCTGATTTTTCGGCTGGTTTGAAGCCTTTTTCGGCCTCCCAGAGGCTTGGAAAAAGCCTCTGCAAGGCTTTTCAGGCCGAATGATAGGCCCATTTCGTCACTGATCTAGATAACCATCAACATCTTCCCAACACTTTGATTCAGAATCATGGTTTTTTCTCTATTTATGAGCTATACGACAATTTTAAGATGTGCGCTGGCAATCACCTTACTTTTGCCTTGTAGTTTATTATAGATTTTAAGCCAGCACTGCTGTCAAATAGATGGACAGCAACTATTTCATCCTTTTTTCCCCTCAAAGATGTCAGCAAAAGTTGAACATGGATATTTTGTGTGTAGTGCATATGCTCTACTAATGAGCTACCCTGTTCTTTGATGATGAATCTTCTCATCCCTCCTACAAATGTAGCTATCAGAGAAGATTTCTTCATCCTATAAATATAATACAGTATCCCGTCCCCCAGGTAATAGGTAGAGTTCATAAACAGGCTGCAGTTTCCATATAAAAATGAAATACAAATCCTCATAGGAAATGGGAAACAGAGCAGTCCAGAATAACTATAACATAAACAATGGCAAATAAGGAGTGGTGTAATTTGTGATTAATCATGTTAATAATATTCAGTAGTCATATCTAGTTACAAGCAGCATATTGCAGATGTCGGTAACAACAACAATGAAAGCATAACTGAGGGAATGAATAATTGCATTTATCCAGGTATGACAAGTTGTGCTGTTTATTTTTGAAAAAAATGTGATTCCCCCATGAGACAATGGCAACCTTGGAGGGAAAAAAAATGCAAATTATGCATAACAAATGAGATGCAAATGTGGATGTACTAAGCAAAGAATAGGCTTTATCACAATATAGACTTCTTGTTACTACACAAGTTCCTTTTTTGTCCCATTATATCGTTTCTCATTAAGCTGGTGTAGCGTATTTTCAACCTGTACCGGGAAGGGTTATGCATTGGGGAGAGGCAGAAGGAACAAGGCTTCAGGAATATGTCAGCCAATGTCGCAATAGATCAGTGCAAGATATTTTTGAGCAACAAAGGCACCTCTTGAATGAATCCTCAAACATTACTTGTTCCCATTTCCACTCCAGAACACCTTTGAGCCTGTGGTTCCCCCCCACTCCCCCACTTCTGCAGAGTTCCCTCCACCACAAACCCGGCATCAGCAACCTTATTTTGTTATATCCTCCCTTTAGGCTCTGGAGGAATAACTGATCCTACGCAACCTAAGAGCTAGACAAGGATCAGTGACCAAATAATGCAGATACACTCTAAGTCTAAGATACTGCTGCCCTTTTGTGTTTTCTACTTGGGAGTACATTCATTGGGGGAGAAATATCGGGGTAGCATCACCATTCGTGGCCTAGTGCTGTCGAAACCTCCCGGACGGCACTGTCTTTCAAGCACAGGGGAGTGAAAGTCTAATCTATCTGAAAGGCATCAGGTGCGGGGAAGGATGGGAAGCCCTTTCGGCGGCTGGCACAAATCTTCCCGCCCTTCAGAGAGAAGTTTGGTTAATGGGAAGGACGGCCACGGCCTGACCTCCAGCCCTCCTTTTCCCTGAGAGTCGCCCCGTTCATCTGAGTGTGTCTCCCCCCCCAACCTCTCCGTGCCCTTTCCTGGTCCGGCTTACGGCTGATCTCAGAACAAAGGCGCCCCCTGCGTTCCCTGCTTCCTTTCTCCTTGCCGCCACGGGATTAAATCCTCTGATTTCAGGCAACCCAGAAAAAAACGGAGAGCACCCAAGTGCCAGAAAGCGCTGCGCCCCGGAACCAGCCCGCGCGGCGAGGCTCACCTGTCCCTCCGCTCCCTTTCTCCCTCCAAGCGAAGCCTTCCCACTCCGGACAGGCTGGCAGCGGCAGCGGGAGAGATGGGGTGGGAGCATCCTCCTCCTTCTCGGGAGGCTCGGTTACTGGGCTCCTGTATCTCTTGGCATCTCGGGATGCAAGCAGCCCGCCCGGCTCTCGGCCGGCGCTTCTGGAGTTGGGGCGGTTTAATGCGGTGAATCCGGACCCCGACGCAGGCAGGCGGCTCTCATCCTGAAGCAGGCTGCTCTTCTCCCCCACCCCTCCCTTCCCTCCCTCCCTTCCCCTCGCCGCTTCCCGCTGCCGACCGAGGTATCACATGGTCCGGCGGACCGCACCGAACCAAGGTCTTTCCTTGCGGTATTTTAAAGATATCGCCTGCTTTGAGGGTCGTGTGGGGCTCAGTGCGCAAGCGCGCGTGTCCGGGAATTTAGGTGTGTGTGTGTGTGTTCGTCAGAGCCCAGAATCGCCAACAGCGCCGCTGCACCAGGACCGCGTCGTGCCGCTCCGCTTTCCTCTCTGCCCCGGGAGCTGAAAGACGGGGCTTAGAAAGCCAGCGTTTCTGGAAGTAAAACGGACCCGCGTCGGGAGGTGCCCTGCTCGGCTCCTTTGCCCTCGAGTTGCCAGAAGCCTTAAAAGTGACCCAAAGCTTCGAAGAGTCAACTCCAGCCCCAAGCTCCTCCGTTCCTTTCTGCTTTACCTGATTTACGTTAGGGTCAAAAACAGAGGTCTCCAAACTTGGCAACTTTTAAGACTTGTGGACTTCAACTCCCAGCATAGCTGGCTGGAGATTTCTGGGAGTTGAAGTCCACAAGTCTTAAAGTTGCCAAGTTTGGGGACCCCTGGTCAAAAAATAAAAATCAAAGCAGAGTGCTGAAAATAATCAAGGCTTCCGTTAGAGTGAAGCATCCTCTGCCATGTTGGCAGGCAAGAGAAAGGCTTCCACGTGAACCCCGGAGTTCTTGGGTATCTTCTCCTGATCCCAACTGCCTTATCTATGGCATCAGTGAGGGGCTCACCTAGCTCCCAGAACTGTCTGGTCCCTAGGGAAGACCTTTTGGCCTCCCGGGATTTAACACCAGCGCAGAAGGTTGTTCTGCTGGTTTTTAACTCCTGCTCTTACTGTTTTGCAATTGTGCTGTTCTTGATTCTGTATTGTTTTACAAAGGGCCTCGGAAACCAATTCTTCAAAAGTAATGTGTCTTTGTGTTGTGAAATCACATAATCTCTCGCTGGTTGGGAGAGGTTGTAGGGAGTTGGAAGGGATCTCAAGGATCGTTCTACTGGTACATGCAAGAAATCTACTACTATGGTATTTTTAAATAAACTAGAACATAGTTTTACTAAAAGTTACTAGAATGAAAATTTCAGTTAGAATCAAATCAGCAGCAGAGTGAAAGAGATCTAAAATTAAAAACATTGAATTCCATAAATAAGGTGTAACAGTTATTTAAGAATGTCAGCAAGCAAATGCTGAAGATTATGTAGAGAAGTCAACCAAAGGCTCTAGAATCAATTTAGTTATCGTAAAATCTAAACACTGCTTTTTATTTGTTTGTTTTGTATGGCTGCCCGTCTCACCAAGTGACTCTGAGTGGCAAAAAAAATATATACAAATGATTAGAATAATGTGACTATTAAAATACACAGCAGCCAAGAACAAGGCATCCACCATAATGACTAATGATCAATCTGTAATTTTTGCAAAGGAGAAATGCAAACAATCAAGTTCCTAAATTACAACTTTTGAAATTAGCATTTTTGTTTTTCTTCAAAAATGATCTAGAGAGTTCAGATAAGCAATGATACAACTATATCGGCAGAATAAGAAAACTTATAAGCAGTATAAAAAGATTATTCCAAACTGCATGGTGAAAATGATATTGGAGCAAAGTGTACATACAGTAAGGGGTTTCCATTATGGCAAAAAGACTTAAATAGTCATGTATCCAGCTGGCATCAAAACAGGAGGTGACTGATAAAGAAAAAGTTAAGTTATTATAGTCCTTGGTGCTGAGCTAGGATGATTTTCATTACCAAACTATTGTTTACTTCTTGATTGTTGTTCTGATATAATTAAGGAACTACTAAGTCAGAAAAAAAAAGCTAACAGTAAACAGACTAATCAAGGAAGTTGCAAGACCACTCCCGCCAACACTAACAGGGCAAGCCACTAGTATATAAAATAAGAGCAAACCTTACTAGCCCTAATGATGTTACCTAGTTTGATAATGGAATGTCTTCAAGAAAACAACCAAGCTCAGAGAGCACCAATACCCCACAGTTCAACCCTGAGGTACAAATGTTTTCTTCCATCAATTATGTTAATAATTTGAAACATGTGGCGGGAATGAAAAAGATGATTTCCACTCTAAGGATCACTAAATAAATAAAAAAACATAAAAGCTGTCAAGATTTAAGTAATTTTAAGTAATATCCATATTTATAATTTAACAATAATTAGATTTGGAATACTATGCACACTTGTTTTTTCCACATCACAAAAAGGCTATTTTACAGCTGGGAAAATAAATGAGGCAACCAATGGCATATGGCAGTGGTGGCTAACCTTTTCAGGCTCCTGTGCCAAAAATTGTGCGTGTGCTCACGTGCCAGCACCCAGAAGGCAATGCACGCAAGCCCCCCCCCCACGCCCCTTGCACATGCAAGTGCAACCGCCCACATGCTCCCCGCATCTCTGCGCATGCGCGTGTGATCCCCCCATGCACATCTCCCACACGCTCCTGGCCCCCAAGCATGCACACCAGATACACGACAATCAGTTGGCGGGCGGGCGGTATGCACATGCGCAGTGAGGCGCTTCCGGGCAACCTCTCGTGGGCCAGCAGAAATTATGATGCTTAATTAGGACTATTTATCAGGAGGCATATCACAGCTGGATTTCCTGTAAATGCTTCTTGGTTTGTACATAAAGTGGAGCCACGTGGAGCTAAGAATCAGATGAAGAGGCTGTATAATTGTTTGAATATATGTTTTTCTTTCCCATCAACTCATATTCAGCCAGATTTTTGATGGCACTATAAATGGCTCCTGAGGTATCACATGTGCATCCATATAGAAATGTCATATAGGAAGATTCGCAAAGAACAGGGTTTTTTTTTGTAGGTGAACATTATGTGAACTGTTGCTTTAATATGTTTTGTGAATCCTATTAATGTAAGCTTATTTAATAAAACATGGTTAAACGAGCCAAAGTTTGCTGCTACACGGGCATTCCTCATTTCAGACCCAGGCCATTGGCCTAGCCGGATCAGTAATGTCCACACACTACCTGACAGTGTCTTGTCTGGGTTTCATAGAGGAATAGAGTTACCTTGTGGTAAAATGGGCAGCCTGTAAATTTTATAAATCAATAAAATCAATCAATAATATCTATCAATAAATAAATATCTTAAGGTGCTTTGAAGTAGGCTTTCTATGAAGAAACCCTGAGCCTAAATCACCTTTTTGGCAGCACACCAAAGTGCATTGATTCAGATGTCCAGGGAAGAAATGGCAGATTGAAGAGAATTCTTTTGAAAGGGAAGCTGACAACCACAGTGAACTGAAGAGCTGGTGAGTACACCAGCTCTTGACAGGAGAGGACTTGAGATCACCCACAATTGCTCCAGACAGTTGCTTCTGGTAAGGAGACCCCAAGACAATGGTCTCTGATAGACTTATACAGTATTTCTGTGACAGACTGAGCTAGCCAATGGCAGATAGATAGATAGATAGATAGATAGATAGATAGATAGATAGATAGA